TTGGGACATGCTCTCGGGGCGCCCAGCAGGGGCCCCAGGCCTTCTCGCAGGCCGCAGCCCACACAGCTTCATGTGGGGCGCTCTGCACTGGAATGGATGCCAGCAGCTTCCACAGATGACAGTGTACGTGGTCCTGTTTGTTGATGAGGAACTCTGGACAGCCATTGGCATTTCTTGAAGAAATCCTTGGAACAGGATACGTGCGACCCCAGCCTTGCTGTATGAAAGTCCCTGGTTTGTCATCGTCCTACCAACAGAAGCCCAAGGAATCCACCAGCTGGTTTAAAGCAAAAGGGTCCCAGTGCCCTGATCTTGGCCTCAGGTTATTCTGTGGGTGACGGGCGACCCTGGAAGAGGCCCAGGGAGATGCAACTGCTAGTCATGTGGGGAGAGTCTCTCCTGCGACGCTGCTGTCCCAGCTGGGTCCTGACCCGGTGTCCGCGGGGGTGTCTTGGGCTACACAGTGCTCTGCCGGAGGCGTGGCCTGGCCCCAGCCGCTCGCTTCTCAGTGCCAGGTGAGGTGCCAGGAAGACTTGACGTGGAGCGCGGCCGGGGAGCGGCCGGGGAGCCTGCCGTTTCAAGGTTCGTCGGGGCAGGGGGCAGGCTACAGAAACTCCTCCGTCATAAGAGCGGCGGCCAGCAGAACTGTCACACTGCAGTTCTTCCTGGGACCAGCCAGGCGAGGTTGGAAGAGAGGGCAGGGCAGGCGAATAAATTTCGTTTTATTATAGAAATGGAAATTTGTGTCGTGGCTTTAAAAATCTGGTTTTATGTGTGTGTTTAATGCCATTCATTTTAAATGTAGTCTCATAAATCCTTGCTTCAGAATCAAAGCTGTTTAATTACATTTCACCCATGACTAGTTATCTAATGCCAATAGAGAAAGAGTTAAAAAGGAGAACTACAGAGTAAATCAGAGGTGAGATCTTTAGCACAAGCATAAAAAATCAATTTAAGATGAATTTTACCACTATAAAAATTCTTCACATATCCTTTTAAGAGCGGGAAATGCTGGAAGCCCAGCTCCACTTCAGTTCCCTGGGCGAGGCAGAGGAAGGCACCCCGCGTGGGCAGGCCCAGGAGGCGATGCGTGCTGGGTGCCCAGGGCACCTGTGCTGAAGGAGTGTTACCTCTGGAGGTCTGCCAAGTGCTGGGGGGGGGGGCAGAAGCCCCTGCCCCTCACTTAGAATGTCCCCTCCCCGAGGGGGATGCTGGCTTCTCCGAGCCGCTCCTCTGATGGCCAAGCAGACCCCATAGTCCTAAAGACCAACCTGGAGCTCTTGCGGAAGAGGTGCCAGGTCCAGGTGGTTTGGCACAGGGTGTTGTGGCGGGCCTGTCCCTCTGGTGCCCGCAGTTGAGGGTTGCTGCACAAGGGCATCACTTCCTGTCTGAGCAGGTGGCATCAACCCCGAGGCGACCGCTGGCTATCGGCTCCTGGCTCTGGACGGAGCTCCGGCGGGCCCCAGTGAACACCGTCCTGCTCCCTGGGTTTAGAGCTGTCCCTGGGCCTCAGGATGGCAGAGCACATCTCATGGTTCTCCATCCTTCCTGTTAGCCCTCTTCAGTGCACGGCTTATTTGGTTAGTGAGAAACAGCAAGAATATTCTAAGATTGAATAATAATTCAGCCCAGCACAGGGCAGATTTCTCCTTTCCACGGTCAGACGGGGCTAGTAGGGAAAGAAAGTGGGCAGTGAGGACGGTGCCTCCCTCCAGGAGCCCTCTGAGAGGCCTGTTCTCTGCCTGTGGAGAGAGCCCTGCCTCCCTCGGGCCTCTTGGTGCCTGGGCCTGCGGAGGGTTCCCAGGCGGCCATTCAGGCCAAGAGAGCAGCCTGTGTGTTCAGGCCCCAGGCTGAACGAG